GAGAGAGAGAGAGAGAGAGAGAGAGAGAGAGAGAGAGAGAGAGAGAGAGAGAGAGAGAGAGAGAGAGAGAGAGAGAGAGAGCTGCTTTTGGAAACAATGCTGTCGTATTGTTGAATCAATGGTAATTAGAGCCTCTGGAAAGCTGTCTCTTAGGAGCAGCGGCGAAGGATCTCTTAGCCTTAATAGCGACAGGCGTGTTGTGATTGCTTGTTTTTCCTGCCGGCCGGGGTAGTTCGCACTGGCAATCCCGAGGATGAAAGGTGCGTTTTTTGTTTTTGTTTTCTGTAATACAAGGAAAGAGATATCAAGCATAGACGATTCGACATCGAACCACGCCATCCATACCTCAGTTAGCCAATCAGATACGGAAAAAATCGTCTAGGATTCGAAACCGTAACGACGGAGTACACTTGTTGGAGGAGCTATGACTCGTTAACCACCCTATTTTAGCGAAAACTCTCCACGCGTTTTGGCTGGAGCCATATCCACCCTCGTAAGGGGAAGGAAAGCTTGACTAAGAAGTGCCTCTGGCGGTAGTTGTGGGCCTGTGGCCCATCGGATCAAAAAGGAGTTCCTTTTGGAATACGACCTGATTGTTCGTTCTTTAAGTCTTCTTGACTGTGTGACCTGAGAGTTCACCTCCACTCCAGCACGACGAAGACGTACGTAGAGTCGTGGACGATCTTATCACTCTTTTCCTTTTTTTCACCTCTTCTTTTTTCGATTTCACTCATCGGGCGTTTTTTCCAAAAAACAAAAAAAAGGATGCGAACTTCGGTGAAGTTAGGTCTGCATTCCAACAGCTCATGGGTGTACCAATGACTCGATGAGCGTGACGCGTCGGTGATCTCCTCAGTTCCGTTATCCTGCGGAACATTAGTTTCCCGTCTCTTTTCTGTTCCTTTTCTACTACTGCCGTTTTCCTGTGCCTACTGCTACTGGTAGGGCTGGGATCTGAACTCGAGGGGGCGGGGAAGAAAGGGGGAGACCCATGTGAGGCACGGAGGTGGGGGGAGGGGGCGAAAGAACGAGGTGATATTCCAGACCCTTCCCGGGGTCTCCGCCTTTCTTCCCGACCGAGCCTGGAGTTTCAAGCCAGGCATAGGTCGCCTCGCGCGCGCCGTGCCATCGTTTCAAGGATGGAAACCGTTTTTTTTGTGATCTTTTGTTTTTTTGTTGAACTTCGTTTAATCAAAATATATTCTCTTTATTAAAAAAAATAAAATAAAAAATCCTGGTGCAGGGATAGGTGTGGGTTTGACAGCATACGGTTGGAGATGTTGGCGGTTGAAGGGAGGTTAATTGTTCCGCCGGTACATATCAGAGTCTACCTTATCATTATGCGTGTCATCCTTGCGCAGGGGCCATGCTAATCTTCTCTGTATCGTTCCAATTTTAACGGATGTCCCGAAGGACCTACCTTATCATTATGCCACCACCGGAGATTTAGGTAACTTAGATATTCAACGTTTGGCTGCCAAGAGGCGAAATCTTGGCTGCCAACATTCGTGCACAGTACCTGTGAATTGTAATCTCCTTCCGTCTGTGCTTCGATGTGCTGAGCTGTGCTTGGATGAGCTCGAAACTCACTCAACTCGAGTGGACCTCCGTCTGTGCTTCGATGTGCTTAGCTGTGCTTGGATGAGCTCGAAACTCACTCAACTCGAGTGGACCTGTCAAGTTGCCAACTGCAGGTTTGTTACACGAGTGCCGGGATTATTATTATTATTATTATTATTATCATTATTATTTTTTTTAATGTGGTCCGATGGACACGGATCCGATATTAAACTGATCAGAACAGATACTAGACTTGATCTTAGCTGAAAGGCCGAGAAAGGTATACATCGACGCTTGCATGTGGGCTTGCATGTGGGCTTGCATGTGGCGTTTCACTATTGTAAAGTGTGACGTCGTCACAAACTAGCCTCCCTCAAGAGGAGGAGGGAAAAAAGCGAGCGTACCAACTCGGCTAGCCACGAACTATTGAAAGATGGACGCCAGTTCGAGTTCCAAGTAAAGCAGATCGGTACGAATAACTCTGAACTTACCTGAGGATGATCAGTTGAAAGCTGATATACCAAAGTCGTTGCCCTTTCAACATGTGTACAACCCGTGGAGTGGTTTTTGCGGGGACATTCAGGAAAGGAATATGTAATACTATTTCATTTGGCCACACACTTAGAGAATTACGCATGGTTGTAGTTACCCTTGGCAGAGTGCCAGGTGATTCAGGCTATTCATATGAGCTTGCGCTGAAGGAGAGAGAAATTTCGAGTAGCCAAATGCAGCAAGATGTTTTTCATCGTCTCCTGCGTGTGTTCATTCCCGTTCAGATTATCAGAAGTGTGAGATACGCTTACCGTCTCTCGCCGAATAGAAAGGTCGGTAGTTATAGCTGTATATATTTGGGGCAACATTCCGTCTACATACAGGGGAACTGCCCGCACATTCTATCTGGGGGAAGACGGGACCGGGTATCGTATTGTGACTATTGTCTGAAATTCTGAATCAAGTCCGGCCGTACGAACCTGCATGGTGAAGACGCGTGATGCAGATGACTCTACCGGTAGTGCAGGATCTGCACCATCATTGTGCATCTGGCCGGGCTTGTTGGTGACATAAGGAACGCTGTGGTCATTTGAAGTGTGCCTTAAGACATCGGAAAAAGATGTCAGAGCTTTCCTCTAGAGCTGCAAGCGTCTATAGCTGCTGACTCTTCTCATTCACCAATACAAACAGGCAGTTGAATCTGTTCTTGTAGTTTTCTTGCCCTGCACAAGCAAGTTGAAAAGTGAGAGCATGCGCGCGCGCGTGAGAGAGAGAGAGAGAGAGAGAGAGAGAGAGAGAGAGAGAGAGAGAGCTGTCTCTTATACACATCTAGATGTGTATAAGAGACAGCACACACACACACACACACACACACACACACACACACACACACACACACAGAGAGAGAGAGAGAGAGAGAGAGAGAGAGAGAGAGAGAGAGAGAGAGAGAGAGAGAGAGAGAGAGAGAGAGAGAGAGGTACATTGGCCGAGTAGTTGCCATTCCTGTAGCACAACGGAGCTTCAGTTCAGTAGAGGAAGAAAAAATCAGCTCAGAGAGCCAGCCATTAGAGCACCTCCGAGCTGAGCTGGGGCGCAACCTCGAGCACATGAGTACAGTTTATCGGATTACACCTTCGACAACCGGGAAAAACGTCTCTGGGCTTGAACCTTGAGACTGCAAGTTCTGCAACTGCATGTGAGATATCGGCGGGCCTGCGGCTGATGCATATTGTGTAGACAAGTCCGCCATGAATGTCTCCTTGTTCTCTGCAGGAGCTTCATAATCTGCCCTTGTTGAAGGACCTTCTCCTATGATTCACCTATCTTGCCCGCTTGTTTATCCCGATCCGTCACCAGCTGACGTCATCAGACAAACTTGCGGACTACAGCTGCATGTGGGAGAGATCCGTGGCGGATGCGTTTGACGCGACACACAACCAGGCTGCAGTGGAGGGTATTGAATCTACTGATGCATATCGCAAGCCGCAGACATAGGCTGCAGCAGCGGGCGTGAGCAAATGCTCTTGTGGTGTGCGCACACACACACCCACACACACACGCACACACACGCACACACACGCACACACACACAGACAGAGAGACAAAATGATATGGGGAGCTTGCACTTGACAACGAGCCAGCATTGTTTACACAGGCTGCCGACAATGAGACATACAAATTTATATGGGGTGCTTGCAGAAGTTGCAGTTGACAAAGAGTTAGTATTGTATGGTCTTTCCTGGCCATCGTCAATCCTCTCTCTCTGTAGCGGACCCACCAGGTGTGGTGCTCCGCTAGTGACAGAGATGGAGATGGAGGAAGAAGGGGGAGCAAGATGGCACAGCGCAGCTCCCCACGCAAGACTCCAACGCACGTACTCCAAAATGTGCAAGTGAGGAATGAGACTGAAAACAGACAATGGCTGGGGTATACCCCAGCGGACTGACGGGACTGGACTGGACTGGCTGGTACCGACAGAGGTACCCGCCTGGACTCGCCTACCCCGAATATAACACAAGCCTGTGAGAACAGGCCAAGGGGCTGGTCTCACAGGCCAACCCGAGGTCCGCTACACGATCCTCGGCCTGTGATGGATCGCCTAGATACAAACATGCTTCCGCCAAGAAGCGGAACTCTACCAAAGAAAAGAAAACCTGAGTAGTCTAGGATGCGGAGCAAGGTCCATGCTGAGTCCATGCGATGCAACCTAGGATATAAAATGTCACAAAACAACAATGTCACAAAACAACAATGTCACAGCTAACAGCCTAAGTGAAAGTAGGAGCAACTAACTAACATACATGTCCTAGGAAAGCAAAAAGTAGTAGGCACTAGCCTCAGTTTGGTAACAACTGACTAGTGTATAAGTCCTAAGAACAGCAAAAGCAGAACAACTAAATCCTAGAAATGTCGGAGGCAGTAGCCTCAGTCTGAGAGCAACAAAGCAATCAACAAGACAACCATATGTCACATGAGAAGTGTGTCRCACACCAAAGGGTGGSATGGTCTCTGAGGGTGGCGAATGCAGCCTAGGGGTYRAAAACTCCTAAGGGCATCCACACATAGTGACAGGGGAAAATACATGTCATCAGGCTCAATGAGGGTAGGGAACTGGGAGCGAACAGAACCAATGACCCTAACAGATAGACCATCAGGGCGGGTAATGCTCGACTAAGGGGTGACCGCTATGGAGGGTCGACCATGCAAAAGGGAACAAGGGAGCCTGGTATACTGGGCGCACCTAGATGAAGCATGCGGGGCTGCCTAACTAGGGCGTGAGGGCCGGCGAAGGGTAGAAAGATGATGGGTAAGGGAATCATGCAAATGACTCCTAAAGTGAGGGAAGTCGGAGCTAGATCCGTAAGATGGGAAAGCCAGGGCAACGCTACGGTCCCGATGCCTATGCGTATACCAAGGGAGAGCCCAACTCAGAGGAACCCGACTAAAGGGAGAGCATCATGCGACACAAGTAGGGTACTGTACAGGGTAGAGTGGTAAGAGAGTGACGACATCTGAAGTAGGAAGAGCTGATCATGATGAAGTCCATGAAGCCGCCGATGACGTCCACGATGAAAAGTCCGGAATGCCGTCGAGGAAGAGCCGCAGCGTCGACGAGCTGAAGTAGCAAAACTGAGGATGGAGTATTGAGAAGTCAAAGACATGAAAAGGTAAGTCAGAGTCAATCGTCATATCGAGCAGGACGACAACGAGTGCGCTGTGGACGCTCAGAGGCATCCGGTTGCTGCTGAAGGTCTGCCTCAGATGGAGCAGGCTCGACTTCAGCGGTCTCCTCAGCCGGAGGAGAAGCAGGAGGGTCAGTGGGCTGAGGAGGAGCAGTGAACCCAGCACGACGAGCACGGTCATAGGTACACACCAACATGCGAGCGTGCTGCAAGTGCTCGAGGGGCTCCCGGGTAGCCTCCTCATCAAGGTAACCCTTCCAACGTACGAGATACTCGACGTGGCGAGGGTTCTCGTCGGTAACGCGGCGACCAATGATGTCTGAAACGAGGAACTCCTCGTGGCCGTCCACCATGATGGGTGTAGGGCGCTCGTATGGTCGTCCAGCGAAACGCTCRGACGGTCTGCGGTAAGGACGCAGTAACGAGACGTGGTAGACATCATGCACACGAGCTTGGCGTAGGTAGTCGGGCAGCTTCACACGAAAGCTGACCGGGCTAGTTGCCGTATCAGAACCAACGGCCTGGAGGATGCGGCATGGGCCAAAGAAGCGACGCCGAAACTTGCGAAGCGTGTTCGCTTCGAGATGTAAGTGGCGGGCGTCGATAAGCACATCATCACCGACCTTGAATGGGTGATCCATCCTYGATCGGTTCGCACGTGCTGCYATGCGAGTCTGGGAAGCGGCTATGTGCTCATGTGCGGTCTTCATAATCGACGTCATGTGTGCAACCCAATCATCCAGCGCCGGACAACTCATGTCRGGGTGCATCTGGGACGGTCGAAGGAAGTCCGCGGGAACACGCGGGTGATAGCCGAGGTCGCAATAGTAAGGCGACATCCCCGTGGCTGGCGGGACGGCGCGGTTGTAGGCAATCTCCGCGTGGGCAAGATGGAGATCCCACTGCTGGTCGTCACGAACAATCTTTCGGAGAATATCTCCGAGAGTCCTGTTCGTGATCTCGGTCTGACCATCAGTCTGAGGATGGTAAGACGACGAGAAGCGGAGCTGAGTGCCGTACACCTCGTGGAGCCGTCACCAGAATCGGCTGGGAAAGCGCGGGTCACGGTCAGATATGATGCTCAGAGGTAAGCCGTGGTCACGCACGACTCGATCAAACACGATGTCGGCGACCTCACGTGCACTGATGGCATAGCGGCACGGAACAAAGCGTGCACGCTTCGTGAAGCGGTCGACGACGATCAGGATAGCATCATGACCGCGAGGGTCGGAGGACGAAGGGGACCGATAAAGTCCATCGATATGGACTGCCAACGACCCTCAGGGATAGGAAGAGGCTGGAGCAAGCCATAAGGCAAGTGGTTCGCATTCTTCACCTCCTGACAGGTGGGACACCCTGCGACGTAGTCGTTCACAAAATCCTTGCGCTTCGGCCAGACGTACA